AAGTGGTAAAAAAATTGTATTATATTTATTTGCCCATTTTTGAGTAATTGAGAAAAAAAAATTGTCCACAATAATATGGTAGGCCACTGTATAATCCATAATAAAAAATTTATCTTGAAAACTAGTAATTCCTTTAGAATCAATTGAGACTAATTACAACTTTAACTATGTATGAATTTTGATGTCTTTTTTTATTTTCTATTACTAGAACATGTTCTACTATTGTGTCTAATTCTTTGACATAAACCATATTTCTTGTTACGTTTTTCTGATTTAACAAATTCAAAGGTGGATAGATCTCTTTGTATAGATGATCGAATTCTATTTCTTGCTCCAATTGGATGTCTCCTTATTTGTTGCACCTGCGGATTTTGAATTACTATAGCTGACTCTTCAAATAAATTTGACATTTTATCTAGAGCTGCTAATTGTTGATTAATTGGCCAAGTATCAAATATCTGTTCATATTCTTGCCACCATTGTCATAAAGGATCTTCAGTTTTATTTGGTATTTGTGGAAGCAATTGACATTCTTGAAGCTACCAATGTTGATAAACATCGGTAAGTTGCAGATATTAATTATTAATAAGACATTCCTGAATTTTGTGTGTACAAGGAAGATCCATTGATGATGTGAAGGTACCACTACAAGATTGTAATGGGTTTTCTAAAGTCACACGGAATACTTTTAATAATTGCTCATGTACTTTTTTCAATGCGAATATAGAAACTTTGGTAATGATCTGTGAGTATAATGGCTTAGCTTAAGCATGAGGAATTTGAATCATCTCTTGAGAAATCATAGTTTGAATTTCCTGGTGTTGATTTTCCAATGCTAAAGAGATTCTTTCATAAACAACATGAAGATTACCTGTCGACACTTGAAGATACTTTTTTAGCATTGCGTGGGACCCTTCTACCCATGATGTGGTTACATTACCCAAATGCAAGTAACAATTTGTCCAAAGACTCACAAAATGTTTTTTTAATGGTAACCATGTGTCCTGCAAATACTTAACAATTGATAGATTCTTATTATATTTTTTCATCAATTCTTTTTATTTTTCATTAAAATCTTCCTCTGTTTTAGATTTTATTACAATAATCCAGTTGCCCAAAAATTCAATCCATTCTTCATCCATAGAGAACTGATTATGACAATTGGTCAATATGTTTTTTTCAATATGCCAGACACATAAAAAGTTTTGTGATTCAGGAAAGATAGTTCGTATAGCATGCATTAATGCCTGATTTCGATCACTTATAATAACCTGAGGCTTTGAAATCTCTTTAAAAATACGAGCAACATGGATGAGAGCCCATTCATAATCTTCTTCTTGTTCCGATTTTAGAAAAGCAAAACAAGAAGAAAATGTAGTATTGAAACTTGTCATATCAATAATATGAAAGAGTGGCATTCTAAACTTATTAGTTTTGTAAGTACAATCCATCAAAAGAACGGAGCTATAAGTTTTGGTAAGTACGATTGATATAGGATGTGCAAAAAAGAGGTGAATCAAATGACCATTTTCACTGCATTGAAAGTCATACTCAAAGCTTCCTTCTTTAAGCTCATTAAGAAGAGCCTGAATTGGAGTGCGACCTTGAAGATTATCATGTCGAATCTTATCTCGAACATTGTAAATAGTTTTTGAAATAGCTATAAGATTTGGGTTGCTTTGGCAAAGAGTTGAAAGCATTTCCCGAGGACAGATGCCTGCTGCAGACATTTGTCGAATTTTTTGTTGATCTTCCATGTTTAATCGATGACTTGATAGGTGCCCAGATATGTCTTTTGATGCTTTATGGTTATGATTGGCATTTTTTATTGCTAAGTATCACTGATTATCTTTTTTTTTGCCATAGAGTTCAAATGGACAATCTATTAATCATGAACTTGTAGCTCTCTGGCAAGTATTATCTGTAAGATTTAAAGAATTTCTGTAGGTACCACCCTTATCACAACATAAATACATGAACTTATCCTGCTCAGATCTTTTTATGTATACTGCATATCCATGACTGAATGCATGTGTTTTAACATGTTGAATAAGAGCTTCGCGACTTGCGAAGCAGCCAGTTAAAGGTAGGAGCAAAGACATGGTTTTAAAAATCATTGATGACAAAATACTTTATATTATTACTACTAATCAATTATTAATCACAAAAAATATACATCAGACCTAAGTCATCAGGTTACATGATTAAGCTTATTTTACTACTCGATGAGTATTATCATTAGTATTGTTTCACCATATTTTCATACATTATTATTATTATTAACTTTTACACTATTTCTTTTTTTTTAGTATCATAGAGACAGATCTTTACCTATTTATATCGTGTAGAAGAGCTGTTAAGTAAATTGGTAGTGCAAGAAAGAAAAAAGAGGTATAACATACAAGCAAGAGGAAGAAACGCCAACAAAGGAACAAAATATTATCATACCAATAAGAATAAATAGAAGAAAACTGCAATCGGATGATATGAATCCAGGAAACCATCAAGGGGTACCTTGTGAAGATCCTGATCTCGAATGATGAGACCAAGAAGGCACCAGCTGACGAGATCGCTAATAAGGGATCCGACGGGAACACTTGGCGGAACGAAAGGTGAAGCAATAAAGGAAAAAACGGTGAAGACGAGGGAATACGGTTGAGATCTTTTGAAGATGAGGTGACAAAGAAAATAAGTAATGACCCCAACTCCGATGATGACACACGACCAAAGACTCCAGGCCCTGCAACATATCCCTTTCAAACGGAAAAGACGTTGATGGCGACCAAAGAGGGTTTTGGCAAGGTCAATGAAACTGAGGAGAAGGGTAAGGACAAAGTGAAGAGCAATGTGAACCAATAAGAGAATGGAAGATCACATCAATTAACGAACCATCAAGGTTATGTGATGAAGGCGGAACCGAAGGAAAAGGTAAAGAGATACGAGATCGACTGAGAACCTGGAGGGCAAACAAATAATAAAAATTGAGAGAGTGTTGGGAGTGCCCGGAAATACAATCTTGAAGGAAAGATGTTCCCAGATGATGCAACGTACCACTGATGCCAACGATGATACCCTAGCCAAGTGCAACATACATCAGGGCGATCAAGACATAAAAAGAGAAATCAAGACGATGGAAATGATAATTACTTGGGGGACGCATGCACCGAGAGATGAGACATTCAGGCTGCGCACCATTACAGCATCGTGGAGATGTCTGATGAACACACTTTGCCAAGAGCTTAAAAAGAAGCTAGTAGTGATATGCTCTGAAAATTTCACAAAATTGGCACTTCGCACTATGATGACAGTTATGTGAACAGTTTGGATAAACAATCCAATAAAAGAACTCCTAGTCAAGCATATAGATGCGACCAAGAGGACCGTCCGAAAATCTGAGTGTGTCAAGGGAGTGCGATGCACCATCAAAATCAATCATGAGGCCACGATCGATCTGGAAATCAGAGACGGCACAAAGAAGTTGAGAGACAGATGGCTGATGATCACAGGAACAGAACACTCATGTGCATTGAAGGATACAACAGTTATATGTTGCAACCTACCCGTGATGCATCAACGACCAACGAGTCTATACTAGCGGAAGATCGAGAAAAAGGTTATGACATATTACCTGAGTACCCTCGCCACGAAGTTTAAATGGAATATCATTATTCAACCAGAAGAATGGATCCAATGGTCTACAATACAACCAGGATAGGGCAGCCAAGGGAAAATGCGTGGCGAGTCAAGCAACTTGTGGAAGTATTCCAAGGTCCCGATGTATCACGTGATGCGATACGGAAGTTCAGAGATGAATAATCCGAAGTGGGACTGCGAAACCACTACAACTAGCATTGCACATACGCTAGCATTGATGAAGGCAATATATGACGATACTTATCATAAGGAATTTGACATTAGAGACCTGGATCAAACAAAATATCAGCTTAGTATTGACAGTGATGACGGAAACAATGCAAGAAGACGCAATGATCTTGAACGATTGCCACAGACCATCCTTAACTTAACTGCCGCTTGGAGGATTCGACATGCACCAGAAACCGTGAACTGGAGGGTTGGGTTGGGAGTTTATTCGCAAAGTATACAAGATAGGTTTGACAGTAGGATCGGATATAGGGACGGGATCGGTGCAGGTCACGTGATATTGCACGATGCATCAATCAATACATCAATATGGGGAAAGTTTAGATTTGTGAGGAACGCAACATTAGATTAGTGGATGCGTTGTGGTGAATATAAATAGAAGTAGAGTAGTAGTTAGAAAAAGTGAGTAGAGTCAATTGCCTTGTAAAAACCTGTATTTGCAGCATGATAATTAATAGTTTCATATGAAAAATTTTGCAAGCTGTTTTTCAAAACAAACATTAATTTTTCATGATTGGTTTCTTTCTTTAAAAATCATATGATCTAACATCGATGAGGTCAGAAATAATATGACCCGACACTCCATTTTTATTGTGATATAATCGAGGGTACATGGTGCAAATAGCAAAATCTATGGTGCGAATAGTAGTTCCCTATTTATATTTTTTGTTATATACAGATCAATCAATCCAAATTTCAAGCCAATTATTATTCAAGGATTCTAGTATAATCAAAAATTCAAGATCAAACTGAGATAGGCAAAATTTTTCAAAAAAACCAGAAAAAAGTATACATGCTTAAGAAGATAAAAAAAGACTTAAAAAAGATAAAAGAAAAGTTTTAAAAGTTTGTAATAATCTTTTCTAAAGTTTAAGTCTCTAGAAAAAAAAAAAAGAGTATTTTTTCTACAGGTTCTTTTTCCTAACAAATGTTTTTACTTTTAATTTTGTAGATAGATTTTTCTTGTATTTACTTATAGAAATACAAAAAGTTTATGTTAAAGAGAAAAAAAAACAAATAGAAAAGACAAAAGCCTTTGGATAATAATGTTATTAGAGAAAGTATATAGACTTTGTTATAGAGAAATATAAAATTTCTTTAAAACATCTGTTTTTGGGTTGGCAAGAGAATTAGTGAAAAAAGTTTTTTATTAAATATTTAAAATCTTATAAAATTAAATTTCTATAATACAAATACAGTCAAAATCAAAAAAAATCATATTTAATATTTTTATTATAACTTATAAAAAATTATTTAAAAAAAACTCTTTCCCACAACACTTCCATCTATAGAAAATTGCCTTTTTTGGAAGCTTCTTTCTTTCAAGGAACTTTGTCTAGCGGAATATGTCTTTTTGGGAGAGGATATAGACTGAAGGACTGATTTAGAGCAGTGGGGGTTTCAAGGATAAGATTGGCCCCTGGGGTTTCCAGCAATGGAGCCTACACTAAGAGGTCTAGTGACTAGTAATGGCACTGGACAATAACTTGGAACAGAGAAGACAAATAAAAAGAAAATTTTCTATGTGAAGGCCATCTCTATATACAACTGCTACAAAATAAACACATCTCTCATTTCTAACTCAAAAACAATCTCACTCTCAAGAGACAGCATTTTATTTTTTAGAGTTTTTTGTTTTCTGCTGATAGTAACTAGTGCAAGATTTTACATAATCTTCTGACTAGTTATCAGTCCTTGTTCATAAATTTCAACACAAAAACCGCAACTAGCTTACCCCCATTAAACGATTTACAATATACAAAACACCAATCATATTCTGTACCACCTCTATACATCAAAACAACATTACAACTTACCGGATTGGGAGAGCACATAACCAGTGCCCTGCATGGGTTCTGGTAATCACAATACACAACAATTTACCAAAACAATATAATAGACATCTGGAATGTGTTCCAGTTACCCTATTATTTATATCACAATACAACAACATCATATAACAACAACATCACAAAATCTCACATGATAAAATCCATCGAGTTATATGTGGCTTGTGCGGTGCTGACATTTGACTGAAACAACTAATTGCATTCAGGAACCACATTTAACAAAAGCTTCAATATTTTCTTCTTCTTTTTCTTTCTACTCAAATACTTTACAATGCCGGCGATCTTGCTCCAAATGTTTTGTTTATTTTTTATTTTTTATAACAAATAGTTCCTCAAGTTTTCCCTGCTCAAGGGTTTTTCAAATGATATATTTGTTTAATAGGTGGTAGGTTAATATCTATAGCAATATAACTCATATCTTAATATTAATTATGTAACAAGTTAAACTTTTGCTTTATTAATAAAGATCATGAGTAATACCTCACTTTAACATTAAAAAAAATAATTAATAAAGAAAGTTATTATATATATTTTTGTTTTAAGTAATATTTGAAAAAAAATTTCTTTTATAAATAAATGTTTTTGACACTTCTTTCAGATCCATAATCACGTGATACGGTTACTTGGTGGTTTAAGAGTTCAATAGTCTTCTGGTCCAATCTCTGCTATCAACAGCCAACCCCATTAGGAAGGAGGAGTTGCAGAGTACTTCAAAGAAAATTTCTTTATTATTTTGATTATCGACATGCAAGGTTGCGTTAAATAAGGTTAACGAACTCCATAAAGTAGACAAATCCCTAGAAGAAAAATTGGATTTTTAATTACTCATGGAAAATTAGAACAAATAGGAAAAACGTTCAATATACTCTCTGGGAACTCTGAGTATTCCGGAATAATCGGAGCTCTCTTGTTCACCGTCCCAATTTAAAATGTCAACATGGGTACCTGACCCGATGATTCCAAAAGCCTCAGTTAATGATTTTGTGATTAAGGTTCGAAGCATCAAAGGTGTGATGATCGGTAAAGGTTTTGTTGGGGAATCAAAATTACTGAATGTTTATTCGACAGAAATTTAGTCAAGTTTTTTCAGAGATAAATCAGGAATTGGAAAAAGCTCACATTCTGATCTTAAGATAATGCCACTCGGGTGTTGTAATTGTGTATTTAACATATTTTGATGCATCACTAGATTTTGTATTTGAGGAGGTCATGTTTTTCGTTTATTATGATGCTAAGCCACACGGAAGGAGGTTGTCACACTTTCAAATTCAGAGATCATACGTAATTTTTGCTTCATATAAGGCGTCATTGATGCAGTGAAACTTCTGAATAGATACAGATAAATTTCGAATTTCTTACGATGTTAATCCATTTTCTTGTCTCATACGAAGATGTTTAACGTACTTGCTAGCGCTTTAAAGGGAAGAGGTGTGTTTCTACTCTGTGCATTTCAAAATATCATTGTATATGAATAACATTTTTCTCTCTCTATAAATAAATAAATAAATAAATAAATACGTAAGTTAAATTGTTTCTGAAGTCCGTGGCGAAATGTTAAAATCAAAGCAATTTAAATAATTTAAGGATATTAGTTAATCAATGTCATCTCTTCAATGTAGTCGAACTTCTTAGATGATGATGAGCAGGGAGAAGGTAAAAATAGTCATTTTCTTATCGATGAGTTAAATAAACTCTTAACACATCCATTTTTCGACGTATAACCCATTAGGAAGTGGTCCAAATTCTGATACCGAAATTGATCATGAAACTGTTCTCAATCATCACAAGAAGATTTATGAATCGGTATTATTAAGTCATAACTATTATTTTTCTTTAACTATTATTTTACTCAATATTTATTTTTCTGTTCGAATCGGTCTTTCTCGCCAATAGGAAGAAGTTACAGATCACTCTGAAAAAGAACTTGGTCATGCGGCTGCTTTTGAAGCCTTTAAGAAATTAAGTTCTGGTGATTTGAAAGGGGTAGATAAACAAGCCTTGATTTCAATGGCAATGCAAGAAGGTATGAAAATCTGGCAAAAAAAGAAGTCCTCTGGAGATGATTCTGGTGATAGTAAAGGTATTACGATAGATATTTCGTCATGGGTCGATTTTTTGCTTCGCTCAGGTAAAAAGCTTAACTAATGCATGCACACGCGCGTCATTAAAATAACAGCTCAAATATTATCTCATGCCGCATCCATGGCAACAAAGCTATTCAACAAAGGTGAAGGCGAAGGCGAAGGCGAAAGTGGAGGCGGTGGTTTATCTAGTCTAGCCATGTCATATTTTAACAAATAATTGTCATCCGATTATTTTTTGATTAAATTAAAAATAAAATGTCAATTTTCGTTGTCCGATTTAAAATAAATCACGTGATGGTTCTCGTATGCGCCACAAGTATAACGTTAATTTTCTCCCCTTGTCTTTCGGTTTTAATAATGCCAGTACCGACTGGACATCAAAATTCTCACACCACGAACACTACACTTCCTTTCCCACCACTTACAGAACAACATATATTGAATTGTGCATTTTCCTCGTGGTATTCCAATTTTCGAACTGTCACTTTGAAATCCAAGATAATTAGACCTTTGCCGGAAGAATTTATTGAATATTTGCATGCGGATGGAGTATTCCTTCCTGATCGAAAGTATGCTCTTATGAGCATTATCGATAAATCATTGTTTTTGGAATATTATACTCTTTAGCATTATTCGATTTCTGATTTTTAGTTATCTGGAGGGAAGTTATAATGCCGAATACAGTGAGGACGACGATGACGATTTTAATGAAGCAGGAGTAGAGTCGGTTGAAGATGACGACGAAAAAGTGAGTTATTAAACCATTATTTTATCTAATTAATTTATTATTATTTCTTGTTTGCTTGCTTTGTTGATCCTCGTAAAATTTTCAGCCATTGCCTAGTTTCCCGGGACTAGAACGAAGAATTTGGCAGACAATTGAAGATTTTGATGGAGCTATCTTTCCGAAACTTAACTGGAGTTCGCCAAAGGTAATAATTCTATTCAACTAGTCTACTTACACTCTATTAATCATCTTAACTTTACGATTCAATTATATCATCTAATCTCAGGATGCCGCGTGGATTTCTGCGACAAACACACTTAAGTGCACCACACCATCGGACATCTTTTTATTGCTGAAGTCTTCGGACTTCATAGCTCACGACCTTGATCATGCGTTCGACGATTGTATTTATGACGGTCAGGAAGCGACGCGGAGACGAAGAAGGCCTGATGCTTTTGAATTGGTGTTGAGGAAATGGTATGATGTGGCCCCTTCTTTGGAGTTCCGGTGTTTCGTGAGAAATGATAGGATTGTTGGTAAGTAGAAACGAAAAAGTTCTATACAGTAATTAAATTGTGTGGTTTGGATTAAATAAGGATACATCATATTTAGGTATATCACAGCGCGATCCAAATTTTTATCCTTTTTTGAACGATATAAAGGAAGAATTGGAAACAAAAATCAAGAATTTTTTTGCCACAAATATACAAAATAAATTTCTGAACAATGACTGTGAGCATTTTAGAATCTAAATACGCGTACGTCCTTGTTTCGATTAATTCTCCTTCTAATATTCTACTTTGTTAAATCGAATTGTTCTCAGATGTATTTGATACATACGTGACGCGAAATAGAGATCGGGTGTGGTTAATTGATTTTAATCCTTTTGGACCAATGACCGATAGTCTTTTGTACACATGGGATGAAATATTAACAGGTTTTTCAATCAACAATTTTTTTTATGTGATGTCTTTCGAGAATTGACTCATTGACACAACACGAAAACTAGCAACCGAATCTCCGACATTTCGTATTATCACCTCGCAAACGGAAGCTAATCAATCGCGTAGCCAACCATTTGTAGTCAATCGTTATCCGCGAGAAGTCTTTGATTTTTCTCAAAACCAGACTGTTGCAGAATTTGCTGAACGGTTTCAGCGCGAATTGATGATTGCGGGAGAGGAAAGTAGTGAAGAGGAATAACAGCAAGAATGATGATTCAGCATCATCCCATGTGTATATTTGGTTTAGATAGAGACAACGTTATGCTTGTTTTCTTTGGACCAGCACGTTTATTTGTGCATGGTGATAGTAATAATTAGTATTAAACCCAAATTTATGCTCACAGGTATTCCTCGCTATAGAATTAATTAGCATTATATATTATTACAAATAAGAAATTCTTAGTATTACATAATTTAATAATGTCTCTAAAAGATTATATGACGAATAAAAATTTTGGAAATTATACGCAGGCAGGAGTAAAACTGGTATTCCAAATAAACACATGTGGGCCGAAGTCAACAAAAGGAACACCAGCAAGACAAGAAGGATCCTCTATTGGTTCTCCTTCGACGATGTCTCTACAAATGTAAGTTTCATTATGTTTTTTCACCCATACTTCATGAGGATGATGTACAAATCCTCTATCAGACGGTGGAAGATGAACAATCACATCATTCCGATGTGTCAACCTTGACACGAAATGGTCGCTTTTTAAAATTAGTTGATTCTGAATGATCTTTGCATACACATCGTTACCAACGCGTGGTTCACCGATGGTTGTGAGGCGAATGGTGAAAGGTGTTCCGGTGGTTTTCTTATCAATTATAGGATCCAAGATATAACGCTTAACGTCGATCGCTAAGAATGACGCCAATGCTCCACCCTATTGAAGAAAAGGAAGAAAGTTAACGTTCACGGCAAGTTTAATTAAATTATAAATTATGTTATATATAACATGTACCAAAGAATGTCCAGTTATAATAACATCATATCCTCGACATGAATTTTCTTTTCGGGCCATCATCCATTGAATGGTCCATAATATTGAGTTTTTTACGCGATCGTAGGTTTCATAGAATCCACCATGTACCAGAGCACCTACGAGTATTTCAAATATTCCTTAGTTCCATTGTAATATGGAAAAAAAAAATCGATACAATTTACGTATCTCAAAATGAACCTTCAACTTCTGGAAATTTGTAATCGAGAAGCGCGAACCGCAAATTGTAAACCCAATTTATGAAATCCCTACTCCTAGGCAAAAAAAAAACACACGGACAGCAGCAACAAGATGCTTTAATGTTTTACCACGAAAAATTTGAGATTCGATGAGAATATTCCATCAATTGTCAACATAACACGAACCCTCTGAAGCTCACGATGATTGATTTGTTTTCTTTACTGTACGCAATAAAACCATACGCGCCTTTTATTTCATCGTGAAAGAAATCTTCCACAATAACGTTGCCAACACATCGAGAGCCACAGGTCCAATTTACCAACTCGGATTTTGGACAATAGATGGCTGCCGCGTATTGAACGTGCGTTCGCAACATCTCAAGTTGTTCTGTTGGAACTAGATCTCTTTCTCCTTTTGATGTGAAAATTCGATTTTCCGTAGAACTGCTCGAATCCACATTAGGAGAACGAAAATAATAGTGCGAACTCAACAAGAATATAACAAACAGAGGAATACTGATCCAAAGAACTCGAGTCATGGTTGTTTGAACAAACTAGGTCCGAAAATGTGTATATTTATACCGATTTTGATGATCACATGGTGCTGATTTCTCGCCAACGCCAATCTGTGTTTCTATCAACGATTCTTCTGAAGTCGTCTTACGAAATAGACAATAGAGATATTGTTATGGTTTATCATCGATGTGTACGTGATTAAAATTTCCTGGAAATGTAAATTCTAATTCAGAATCATCGGCTGCGAACTTTCTATTTCGAGACCTTGGTCTAAATTAAATTTTGTAACCAAGTACGCAGCATGAAATGCACCTATCCAAACCTTCCGAAGATCTTTATGATGTTACGTAAAACACATTTCAAAGTGGATATGATGTCACTTCCAAAGTCGAGACGATGCGAAAGAATGATTTGAATTTCGATGGTAAAAAATATTAAATAACAATTGTACTGGGGCTTCTTGTGGAATCAAGAAAATGCCTTCTTCAGCTGCATAAGGAATGCGAACAATGGATGACCCTCGTCAACAACCGCATATAATGTCAGTTCGAACTTACCAATTTTGCCAGTGCCCATCATCACTCGGACTAATTTTAGCAGTGTTGTCGCACAAACCAGTATTTATTCTTCCTCCATGCATTTTTCTTCCACTCCAAAAGCCGAACCTTTTTTTCCCTTTCCCTTCAACGGTTTCCTTTTTCTTTGTTCCCACTCATACACTCATTTCGTTACATCTCGTTCCTAACAGAGGAAGTCTTTTTAATCAAAGAATCCTAAGACATTAAAGTTGTGTGCGGAAGTATGTCTGACAAACCAACAGTCCTCGTTCTCGGCGGCTTGGGTTTTATTGGCCGTAACTTTGTTACCTATCTTGTAGAGAACGAACTGGCTTCCGAAATAAGGGTAGTGGATAAGGTGTTGCTCGCAACAACTGCACTTAACCAAAGACAAAAGGCGGCTTTTAGCAATGTTGAAGTCTTGCAAAGAGATTTGGCTGTTCCCTGTACGTCCACAATTTTTTCTTTCTTGCATTGGATGAATTTGCATGTTACGTTGAACAAATCAAATGATGACGAATCTCGGATCTACTTGTAAACTGTGCGAATGATTAGCTACCATCCCTCTTGTACACACGCGCGGAAATGGAGGTTCATTCGATTATGTCTTCAACCTAGCAGCTGAGACCAAGTACTCTCAGATCGAAGCGGTTGGTACCTTGAATTGATAATCGGGAATACTTGCATTATCCCAAAATTGCCGGCATACGACTGTTATATGATCATAACTTTCTGGTGATTCGTAGGTCTATCAAGAACGCATTTACGGACTTTCTTGTAGAAATGCTGAGGAAGCTGCTAAAAGAAAAGTTAAAGTGTTCGTTGAAGTATCGACTGCGGAAATTTACAAAAATGACAAGGTAGGTATTATCTATATTTTGCTTTGACCGGAAGGGGAAAGCAAAAAATATGACTAGCATTGCTCACAATAGAATCCCAGCAAAGAAGACGACAAAATTAAACCCTGGACGACTGCCGCAGAATACAAGTACAAAGCTGAAGAAAAGTTAAAGACCATCGACGGGTAAGCAATTTCCGGTGCTTGATATAAACTCCACAATTTAATTGATAACTAGCGGTAATCATTATTGAAATTGTTCTTTTCACTATGTAAGTTTAAACCTTGTAATTTTGCGACCTGCCTTAGTTTATGGTCTAGGTGCAACCACGGGTATAGGTAAGAATCTTGTTATGAAAAAATTGATTCGATCAACGTTTCTTTATTTTAGTAAATAATGAATTTTGTGTTTTGCGGTATAGTCCCTCGTCTCGTTTGTGGGAGGATTTATCAATTTACCAAAGAAGAAATGAAATTCCTTTGGTCTAAGGACCTTAGAATCAACACTGTTCACGTGGACGACGTTTGTCGTGCCTTATGGTTTATTGCGACGTGGTATCAGGAAAAAAATAAAGCCGGAAAAGGACCAGTTATTTATAATTTAGCAGATTCAGGTGATACTGGTATGTTAATACTCTACCGTATACTATTATCACAATTCACTATAATTATTAATTGTAATTCCCATAATATCAAAACTTGCAGATCAAGATAAGCTTAGGAAACATATTGGAAGAATTTTCGGCATACAAACTGGATTTCATAATGCCGCCATTAACACTATGGCACAGGTTATTGCTAATTAATTTAAATTTTGAATATATTCTTTCTTTTATTGATTCCCGTTTTTCGTCAATTTAGCTAAATTTTGATAGCGCGGTGGAAGAAGTTAATGATAAACATATGCGCCCGTGGTCTACTCTCTTAAGGAACAATAGGATTAAAATTACTCCGTTGAATCCCTATTTGGATAAAGAGGTGCTTACCAACCATTCCCTGTCCGTCGACGGAAGAAGAATCACCGAAGAGACAGGATTTCGGTATCAGGTTCCAGAAATCACCGACGAAAAGCTTCAAGAAATGATTGATGATTATATTGGTTTGGGTTGGTGGCCAATTTCAGATTAAATATAATTTTGTTTCCCAAAGAGTAAGGGAATTTCTTTGTTCTTGGTAGCATTACTTCCAAGATCTTTACTACATGATAGCACAACGCTTTCATTTCCGTCTGTTTGTTTTACATTCTGTTCATATTCCTTATTTACCGATTTCTTACATATTTTCTTTCCTTCGAGATTTCCTGTACGGTTTACTACTCGTAAATTCTTTTTATTCTTCCTTTAAAAAAAAAATCTTTTTTAAATATACTGTTTCTCTCGTAAATACATTTTCACGAACCGATAAGTATTGGATACCTCGGTTTTTAATGTAAATTATGTCGGTCGAAAATAAAAATATTGATTTAAATAATTGATTTGGCATAATATATGCTATCGTAAAGTTCGAACAGAAAGGATTTTGTATTCAATGTACTTAACCTCCATCATTGGCCTTTCGACATTTTTGTAGTGAATTATCTACTAGGACGATCATGAATCCTGAATCCTGTGTTATCCAAGATGAGGATCTGTGTTGCTTATTTCTAAAGAAAAAATTTAGAGCACACTAATATCCAGCGTGAACTTTCTTTACTATTCTTTCTAAATTTCAAGTGGCTTGCATTGTATATGTATGGCACATCATAAATATTTATTTTAAAATTCATTAAACTAGTTATTATATCGACTAGTTTCAAACTACATAAACCAACTAGATTTATCAGATGGTTTATTATTTATTATTATCTTTTACAACAGCAATTATAAGTAATGCAACAAAAAAAAAGATTTATATAATTCTAAAATTTATTAAAACATCAATAATAGTTACTATTACTTATTATAGTGTATAGTTTTATATAAAAAAGGAAATTTTTAAAAAAGTTTAGAAAAAAACTTTTTTCTGTTTTCTTCTTTTTTTAATAAAAACTTTAATAAGATAAGGAGAAAGTAATGTCACAACAATTTACAAAATTATGATTTTTGTAATTCAAATAATTTGAATAATTCAAAAAAAAAAATAAAGAAATAATATATTTAAATAATAAAATTACCAATTAAAATTTAATAATAATAATAATAATAGATAAGAATATTTTATTTTATATTATATATATATTTTTTTTAAACTAGCTTAACTTTGCTTAGCAAACTTTATTTTATTATTATTTTTTTTTTTCCCTCAATCAGGTTGGTGTCATTTATTTATTAAATCAAAATGAACCATTACAAATATAAATTGTATGTATAAATTTCCCTGATCCAGTTCACCCATCTGTGACCAAGAGTTTCTAGATGCGATTTATGGGGATGATATATTGCTCATCCATTAATTGGAATTAAGATCCCATTTGTTTAATAGAGTCAAAACCTGCAGATCATCTCTACAGTTGCTTAGCAAACTTTATTTTTTTTTTTTCCGTAATCAAACAAGTATTTATTATGTTTATTTAATTATTAAAGTTGAAAACATACAAGTGTGAAACTTTTATGCATAAACTAAACTAATACTTGAATACCCATCTCTGATTAAAAATCTCTAAGTATAATCTTGAAGATAAATAAAGTTGCTTGCTCATTTCCTCCGTTCCTGAGAGAATTTGAGTTTATTGCTTGCAGTTCATCACTACAGTTCACTTTGGCAAGATCTTGATTACTTTATATTCCTAACCATTTGGTTCCTTCCTTTATCTTATTCCATAGGGTCTGTGCAAGGATTTCTGAGATCTTGTTGCTTGTGGTTTTGCTTAGCAAACTTTATTAAGGTCAATATTTATATATATTTATATATATTTTTGTATATGGACTATGTTATAGCATTAATTGATGAGTAAATACTAAACTATATTAAGATTTCCTAAATATTAGCTTTTGCTATCAACTTTTCCTATTGGATAGAGGTTAAAACTAATATGCCAAGGCATTGCTATTGTTAATATTACTAATATATAAATAAAAAAAATTGTTTCTTATCATTTTGTCCATATTTTTAATTCATCTTTCCAACAATTTTCTCACCAGATTCTTTTTTCTATTTGCTATTATTTTTTCTTTCTTTCTGTCTTTTTTTACTTCTGTTTGGTATGTTCCATGTCTTTACTTTCTTTTATCTGCTCTGCTAATGTTGTTTATTTTTTTCCATTCTATGATTTCTTCACATCTTATTTTTCAAAGTTTATTGATTACTTTTGTTGTTCTTTCTATAATTCTTCTGCATACTTTTTTTGCTTTTACCTTTACAAACTGGTATATGTATCAGGTTATCTCTTTGGTCAGAATTCCCTTCACTATATAGTTTCTTGTGCTCTCTGAGTTAGTAATTAATAACATTTTTGATTTTGAATCTTCTTTCTTTTTCCCTTTGTTTCAGTTTCTTTGACACTCTTCTATTTCTTCTTTTATTATTTTTTTATACCCATCTGTAATTTTGTATTGCCAATGTTTGTGTATCAAGTGCTCTAGGCTTTCTCTTTTCTTGCATCCTGGGCACTTGTTTGATTTGTATATATCTGATTTTCTTTCTGCTAGTTTATCTAGTGTAAGGAGTTCACTGTTTAATAATCTATATTTTATTCTTCTATATATGTGATCTTCTTGGCTTGTGTATATTTTAGTTATTCTGGATTGGTGTTATGCTTTTCAGGTAAAGTGTCAATCTTTTGTAGCTCATCTCTGTACTTAATTCATACTCTGTTTCTTTTCTGTGTTATCCAGCTTGCCATCCATTTGATATTTTACATGTTTTTCAGAAAATCTTTGATGCTTGTATCTAGCTGATATTCCTTCCATTTAAGTGTTTCTCATATTGCTGTTTTTGGATTGGCTGTTGTAATTGGTTTGTCTCCTTTGTTTGCTCCTTCTTTTGCCAGTTCATTTGCCTTTTCATTGTTTTCTTCTCCCTGGTACACTTTGACTTTAATAAGTATTGTTTGTTCCTGTCTTTTTTTGATGATTCTTTTAATAAGAGTTTTTGTTATTTAGTTTGTGCTTTTGTAGATTTGACAACTTCCTTTGTCTTATTTGAAATTTCTTAAATGGCTACCTGGCTATCTATATATATCTCGACTACTGCTTGTGCTAAAATTGTCACTAGCATAATTAGAATTGCCATCTATTCTGCTCTCATTGATGATGAAAAATACTCTGTGCTTTTTATTTTATATTATAAAGTTATATACTATATATTATAAAAGAAATAATATCTTGTAAATACAAAAACATATAACAAGTTAAATACTAACTTGCTTATACATGTATATCTAACTAATATTGAAACTAAATTTTAAAACAATATTATATGTATTAGATATAATAAGTAATAATTATATCTATTTATTTATTTATTTTTTTTTTTTTGGGTTTCCCCAGTAGGTAAACATCATTTCTTTATTTTGGTTTATATATAATAAAGTATACATCGTTAAAAGAAACAACATCTCTTTTATTATTTCAGAAGAGTTAAATGCTAGCTTGCCTACTTATCAATATCTAACTAATATCGTAAAAAAATTCAAAATC